AATAATGCTTATTTATTATGTATTACAGTGAGCTAACATAGTGTTTTATATAATTTTTGAAATGCAACTCCAATCATATTTAAAAAAAGTTAATTCATTTTCATAATTTTTAAAAAATGTATTTTATTTTTGTATTTTTACTGGAAAGCACTTTGGTGCAACATCTGTTCTTTCCAATGTGCTAAATGAACAACTGTGACTTGACTTGACTGTTAATGTGAAGCCTTAATTCAGACTTAAGCACTGAACCATTAAACCAATACATTACCCAATCCTGCTTCCTTCAGCTAAGAGCCGTCTCCAGAATTTAGTCATTTACACACTTATTCTCTGAAGGCTTAACCGCTGTGACTGCCTCCTTCTGGCATAAACCCAGAGTCACTCTCTCACCTCGAACTGGTTCAAACTTCAGCAGCTCAGATTCTTACTGGTTTTAGCAGATGACATCACATCACCACAATCTTCTCTCAGTTGGCTCCCTGTTTGATGTTAACATTTTACTGATTACTTTTTCAGCTACATAACAGAAACGTTGAGTACACATGAGCAGCTCACAGGTTTTCATCCAGGCGGGAGGATCTTGTGACTGTTTCAAGTTTGAGACTTTTAACCTTTTGAGCAGCACACCACAAAACATGTGTGATCATGTTTTTACCTCTACTCCTTTGATCAGAGTGATCTTTCTCATTGTTTTCTGTCTGATGTTCTTTTACAGAGATTATTTCATGTGAATACAACACAGTAAATTGTGTGTTTCTTGCACTGTCTGCATGATCTATTTTAGCCCTGAGAAACGCACCCTGAGCATAATGTCAGTGCATTTCTTCAGACGTATCATAGCTCAACTGAACAGACAGACCCTCAAGTGTAAAAAGGACTCAATAAAATAACACAGAGCCCTATCATAAATCAAGCAGATACTTGCCTTACTGAACATTTTCAGGCAGATAACCAATATTTTGTGAGATTTCCCTCAGATGCTGCCTCAGCCTACATGATCCACTCAAAGGAAAAGAGTTCTGCAGGCAGCATATTTATCAGATACATGCAGTCACCACCTTACTTCCCTCTGCCAGTGTTTTTCAGCTATGTATTGACAGTTATGTATTTAGACCTTTAGCCTTGATTAAAAAATGCTGCAAATTATTTGTATATGAACCTCCAAATTAGTGGTTTTGTGTCTGAAGAAGTTGAGGTGCTTATAGTTAAAGTTTAAACGGATTGGTACACTGTATTGTTGGTTTGCTATTAACAAAACCACAACAGCAGTGTGGCTCTTAAAGTGAGGTCTCTACTTGAACAAGCCAGTATTACTGGGAGGAAACTGTCTTTCTGTATCCAGTAGGACCAGTAGGAGGCAGTGTGGTATTTTGGTTAAGTAGATTAACAAGTAAACGGCCCTTTATCACCTTTCAGTGGATTTACCTCCCTCCATCTTTTTATCAGTTTGACATACTGAGGTCGTGCATCAAGTCCACCAGTGGCTTTCTTGTCACATGTACAGTTAGTTATGAGGGTTGTGTTAAATAATAAGCAAGAATTACATTTAGAATGAAAAGAAAGAGCCACCAGTTTGTATCATTTTGCTACTTCTTGTGTTTTATTTTTGATGTGTTGTGTCTTGTTTAGTGTCTCATTTTGTCTTGTTCGGGTTGTGCTTTTTCCTTTTGCCTCCTTTGTGTCGTTTTGTATCCTGGTTGTGTCATGTTGGCCCCCTTAGTGTCTCATTTAGTTGTTTTGTCTCCTGGTTGTGTGGTTTTGTGTTTCATTTGTGTCATTTTGTGTCCATCTGTGTCGTTTTCCATCATCTCATGTTGTTTTGAGTCTTAGTTTTGGTGTTCTGTGTCTCGTTTTGTCTTGTTTGTGTCATTTAATGATTTATTTGCAATATTTTGTGTCTTCTTTATGGCGTTTTGTATCATTTATTGTCATTAGCATTTATTAGTGATTATTACTGATGATACAAAGCATCTACATGTAGCTGAAATTGACCACAATGGAACACAAAACCACCACCAAAAAAACTGTAACATAACAATGAGACACACAAACAGCTGGTGTATATGTATGAGTTTCAGTTGTGTCATGTCTCTGATTGTAGGGCATGATACACACACACACACACACACACACACACACAGATACATAATTGCCCTTTACTGAACACACTACAAACAGAGACGTTCCATATCAGTATATCATCAGATGTTGTCTGAAGAACTCTTTGTCTGTCTGATTTGATCTGACCCTCATTTCCTTCTCTCTAAAAAAACAAAACAAAACCTCACACCACTGTTAGTTTGACACAGAACACTTTACAGGGTGACACTTCTTTCACAACTACTGCAAATAAAAATAAGCTGACATTTGCTTCTAAAACACAAAAGATACCAATGAAACAAAGACTGAAGTATCAATATCTTGAGCAACTGCTTATTTACAATAAAGATACAGTATTAATGTATTTTGCCATTGTGCAACAAACACATAACAAATTCACACTGATGATTATGTCTCTGCTTTTGTTCACATAATTTCTTAACATGATGCTACATGACAAAGCAGTAAGAGCTATTAAAAGGAATATTAAGATGATCACAAATACATTTCTAGCAAATAATTGTCTAAACAAGTCATTGAAACATGCTGAGCAAGCCTGATGGTAACACCAACCTGCCTAACATCACTACTGACTACAGCATTACAACAAAATGTATGGAATAAGGATGAGTGTAAAAGCACTATTAGCAGTGTTGCCATTTATATTGAAGCTAAATCCAGGTCATAATTCTTTAATATGATCTAGAACAAAACCGCACAAACTGCTGCATGTCTGATGTTGGGATGGCAGCAGTTGTACAAAAGTTGTCAAACATGTTTGAACTGCAACGCTGCATTTCATGTTATTGTCGGTGAGTCTCTTGTTTTATTGATGACGCTCTGCCTTTCATGGACCTGAAACAAAATCACAATAGGTACAACTGAACAACTGAAAAACAAAGATAGTAGTGAGGGTGAAACAGTATTTGCTGTCGAAATATTATCAAGCAGTATAGAGTTTGTCAGAGATGACCACAATTAAACTTGAGAGTAAAAATTATCTTCATCTTTCTCAGATCTGAAATCAGTTTGTGTCTAAATGTGAGATTGGTGCTATTTTTTTTATTATTGTCGTACAGCAGCAAGAGAAATAATATGATTGTCCACCATCCTTTACTTGAAAATAAAGCCAAACTGTGAAACAAAATATTAGTCAATATAGGGCAGTAATAGTGCAAGTTTTACTTGTGCAAGTCATATGACATTTTTAAAAAAAAAAATGTTGTGTGTTTTCTGTTAAAAACACAGCTAATATGTTCACATTTACATTTTGAGGAATAATGTGTAATGTTTTGACATTAGTTGCACTTCAAAAGACTATCAGAACCAAAGGAAGGACAAATCTATCAAGACTAATTTCAAGTAGGAACTCAGTTGTCCTTACAAATGACTTAACTGACACACTGAGGTATTTTTTGATTATAATAATAATTAAAAAGAGAAAAGAAACTGACTGATCTAAAAAAAAAAAAAAAAAAAAAACATGGTAAAGTGATGATATATTTTATTTTTCTCTCTCTCTCTCTCTCTCTCACACACACACACACACACACACACACACACACACACACACACTATTACTACAGTAGTATATGTGATACTTTGTGCACTCACTGACCTTCACAAACTTCAGGCTGGTGGATAGGTGTCACATTAATGTAATCATTGGCTGCTTCATCTGCAACAATAATGTCAGATGAATAAAAATTAGTCACCTATGACATAATCTCTCAAAGCTCCACATTAATCAGAGTTTATACTGTACCATTCTCAGTGTTTGCTGTTGTGACTGATTCATAGACAGAAGCATCACCTAGAGGTCAGTGAAGACAAATGAAAATTAACCATCAAATGTGTCACCTTTTTGTAAAAAACAAAGAAAAGAATCAAAGTGATGGTTGTGAAAAAAATGATCCAAAAAAACTGACCATAGAGCAGACTGGAGTAAACTTGAGTTTCATTCTGTCTCTCAGTTTGATGCTTAGCAGAGCCCTGACTGATGTTCAGAGTGAGCCTAGCACATGAAGGAATTTCATAAGAAACGGGTAAAGCGCTGTTACAATGTTCAAGAAGAGAGAAGAGTATTTTACCAACCAGTCAAAATGTGGATCTGTAAAAAAGACAAAAAAATATATTACACTGTTTTGTATTCAAATTGTTTTTTCATGTCATTAGAATTTATCTGTGATATTCAGTAAATTATTGACTGGAAAAGGTCTCACCCTTTGACTTTCTGTAGCAGTACAGCAGCAGAGACAGCAGGATCATGATCAGTAAAATTCCACAAATCAGAGCAATAATAGACGGGACTGCAAGTGAGGAGCTTTCAGACCCAGAACCTGCAATTATTAAATTACTTTAGGTACCTAAATTATGTGAAACCTTTAATGCCACAATGCAGGTACAAACATTATAAATACATGTAAATATAACTGTACTGTGGACTGTCATCACTTCCAAACTTCTCTCTTCTAATATCATAAAACAAAAGAAGCCAGACTGCTATGGGTTTAGTGTGAGGTACTAAGTCAACTGAAAATCGCATTGATAACCCTTAACCAAAATCAAACTAAACGGCAAGTATATTAGATATTGAAAATATTAACCTAATCCTATCAGTTCTCTTCAACTCCTTCCATTTAATTTGTTACCAAATGTAGCAGAATCTCCGACAGTCATGAGGTAAAATGTGCTCACCAACTCAACAATGTCATTGGTCAGAGTAAAACAATGTGCATTTTATTTATTGATGAGCCAGTAAACACCTTTCACGCTGAAATACCAAGTTGATGTGTAACTTGAAGCACATGTGACAGACTAAGACTTTAAACTACTGGGGAATTGACTGGTAATTATTCATGGTATGCAGCAGCTACGTATCTGTGTTCTTTATGTATAAGTAATAATAAATGTATACTTTTCTATTTCACATTACACACATTACACAAACCCAATTTTCAAGAAGTCTCATGACACTTACTCATTTTAATTATGTGACATTTTGAGCACATTTATCTTAAGCTTAAATAAAAGAAAATAAATAGTTGTGATTCTTACGTACATTTCACTGCCATCCAACTCTGTGCTGATTCTTTTTCTGAGTACTGACATTTGTAGAAACCTTCATCTGACTTTGACACTGCAGGGATGCTCATCTCTCCTCTGCTGTCATTTTGGACGCGTTCGCCATTTTTATAGAAAAGCACATCAGAAAGAACATTTTCTGTCCTCAACTTGCAGCCTAGAGTAACAGAATCTCCCTCAGTCACAGGATGGACGGGGCTCACTAGGATAATACCGTCATCATCTGTAATACAAACAATATGAATATTCATGTAAGCTGGTGTAGTCTGATATACAATTATTAGGACACATCTCACATGTTTGTAATCCTATCTACAACATATTTTTCAATCATGAATATAGTCAGTATTTACACACAGAAACAAACAAGCAGGTAATTGTCTCAGAATCTGTAATAGTGATAGAATATTTAATTAACTGATTGAGCAAGTATGACGTTTTACCACAAAAACAAAAACTTTTTTAGATAGTCCAAATTGAAATGAAACAGAGTCCAGAAGTTTCAAAATGGTTCTCCTGATTTAACTAAGAATATATATATTAAAATATGGGCATACATTTCATTTTCAACAATCAGTGATGAAATGTCTATGATACTTTCTTTGTTTTGTATTATTGTGACATGCAACTATATATGGTTTAGAAAATACCAACTTTTACCAGACATCAACTTTTGGGTAATATGTGCTTAAAGATGGGACTTTTATTATGTTATTTTTAAATGGCTTTATTTATTTTCATATTTTTTACTCACCCATACTCTGAAACAACGGTAAGAAAAAGCAGGGAAAATGTCAAGCTTTCATCTTTGATAGTTTCAAATATTTTCCTTCAAACATATTCAAAAATTTGAATGTGTGACAAAATGTCAACAGGCAATTGTATTTTACAAATTATCTGAGAAAGTACTTGTTGAATCAAGCTAAAATTTGATTTTTATTTACTATTTAAATATCCATAGTTTATGATTTAAAAAAAATAAAAAAAAGTTTCCAGTAAATCAAAGGTGGTGGAGTAGAAGGCCCCGATGATTTGAGATGGAATAAACCAAGCACAACTTATGTTGCCAGCTAACATTTTTGTAGTACAAATCACCTTCAACCAAAAAAACTTTAGCAGGGGGGTGATTGGTGATGTGGAATTCAATGGCCAGTTTGACAAATTGCATATAAGAAATATCAGTTCACAACAGTAGAAAATAATGTTAGCATTCTCTAAGTATAAACAAAAATATACTGGTGGATGGCTGTTGTCAAAGGAAAAAAGAGCACACATCAGTTTAGACTGAATTAACAGGACATATTATATGTTAGTTTGATTAATATATACATAATTATTATAACACAGATATAGAAAAATATAATAACTCACACTGTCCAGTGATGTTTACTGCATTGCTGAATGCTGAATCAGACTCACACCAGTACACTGTTTTCCCGTACTGTATCTTATGAACAATACGTGTTGATCCATTCATTGTTCTCCATCCAGGACAGTGTTGCAGAACGCTATCTTCAGTAAACATGCTCACTCTCCCTTCAGAAGAGTTTCCTCCACAACTTAGTGAAACAGAATCAGAGAGAAAGTGCTGCACTGTGTTAGGATCTACTGTCAGAGATGCTGCTGAATGAAGATCTGCAAAACAAACAATGATAAACAATCAAACCTTAGTACATACCGTGTTCAATAAAAAAATTAAATACTAAGGAAAGAATACATTTCCACTGAAAAATAACAAATCTAGCAAATGCATTATGATAAGTTAATAAATGTCTGATTTTAAATTAAAGAGAGACGTTTAATTTCAATGTAACTGTTTTACAATAAACATGTGGACTGTACAAAACTATCGAAGAAACTCAGTAAAAACAACAACAATGTTAAAAAAACCCAAATTTAAACTAAAAAGTTTGACCAGATGCTAGCATGAGAAGGAAATGTCATTGGGTCACAGCAATAAGTACATTTATTCCATTGTGAACATATAAATGTCCATCCATCCATCCATCCATCCATCCATCCATTATCTATACACCATTTAATCCTCAGTAGGGTACATATAAATGTACACAATAAAACTAATTAATTAATTAAAACTTAAGATGTTCTTTATTTTTTAAGACTTGTTTGTCATGAGCAGGCTGGAAAGACCAAACTGAACAGTAAGAGAAATAAGAGAAATGCAGACTGACCTCCAGACCAGACAAACTTAGATTCACTGTAACCAGTATAATACACTGGCTCTCCTTTTCCAGCTCTACATGCATATCCTGCTGTCTGTGTCTGTCCATGAACAATGTAGGAATCTTGTTCAGTCCCGCTGGTGCTACCAGGCAGCAGCTCATAACGGTACGAGTTGCCTGATAGATCAGGAACAGCCTTATACCAGTAGAACCTCCATCCTGTGGACGGATGTTCAACCTTACAGCTGAGGGTTACTGAGGCTTCAGGAGTCAGCCATGATGGAGACACAGTGAGAACAGCTTTGGTTTCTGTTGGAAAGATATTTTTTTCAAAATGAAACATGTCACTATTGTTGTTTATGGAATGAATGCAACGTTTACATTGTGGCATTGTTTCTCTCTGTCAGTCTAAATAAATGCAACAAGCATTTTGTTGTGCTCCAGACAATATGTTACTGAAGAGATTCAGCTTAATGATCACAACTGATGAAATATAATGTGACTCTGAGTACTGTCAAATTGAAGGAATCACTCCAAACTGTTGAAGACTGTTGGGCAGGTTTTGCTCTGCATTTACACTCGTACTCTTTATTGTAGTATGAAGGAGCAGAATTTATTTTGATTCAGAGGTTTGCTTAAACTGATAGATTTCCATTCATAGCTCTCCTCCATGGAGCTCACATTTAAGACTTCTCGTCTCTTCTCTATATATCTGAGGCCACTTATGTTGAAACTGGCAACTTCAAGAACCACCATCACAGGCAGAAACAAGACAACAGGTTAAGTCAACATTCACCACAATGACTTCAGAATCTAATAACGGCATTCATTAATCCTCACAGAACTTTTTAAAACATTTGTTATACATTGAAAACTCACCATTTCTTCTGATTTGGACTGGATCGCTGTCCTCTGTGTAATAAACAAAGGTTCCTCTTCCTCCACTGCACCAGTAGAGTCCTCCCTCTGACACACTGATTCGTCCATTTGAACGGAAAGCTGCATCTTTTGTGCTCAGGGGTTCAGAGGATTTCTTATCGCTGTACCAGAAGTATTCCCATCCAGATGATTGGTTCACTGAGCAGACCAGGGTCACGCTGCCTCCTACTGGAATGTCTCTGACGTCAGCCTTCAATAGAGCCTTTGGTTTACCTGTTGGTGAGTTTAGAATAATGATGATAATGATAAATAAAAGGGTAATCACTGTCATTGTCTCATTGGAGAAACTTGGTAAAAAAACAAAACAAAACATAATGGACCTCGTCCTGGTATTAAAAATAATGTTGTCATGGCCAGCGTACTTTCATTCATTTATTACTGCTCTAGATCTTTATGTAATAAATTATGTGGTTCATGTTACCCAACAAGTTAACTGAAACAGAAAACATGTGGTACAATGTTCACTGTTGACTGTCCCATGCTCTGCTGACCTACGCAGTAGAAACTGCCGCTGTCATTTTACTTCTGGTCTACCTCCTTTTCAGTTTCAGACTCAAGTCTTCCCACCTGGTAAAAGGCTCAGATACCCTCTGGGAGAGCGCTTTGTCAGAATCTGCACCAAGTGTTGACCACCTGAGTCACCTGAGTTTTATTCAATAAAGAACGTTGTATCTCATCCATGAGTGGAAAAATATTCTTTAACCCTGTTCAGGACTTCCATGTTGCCATATGTAGAAGTTTTTCAGGGTCCATTGAACTCCAAGAAAGAATATGTGCAAAGTATTTGTTGGTATTCATTATAGACTTTATACTATGTTCAATACATTTTCTGATAAGTTGACGTATTTTTGGTTCCAAATGCATGACAAATGTCCCTCTTTTTATATTTAAGAAAAAAAAATCTTTTAATAAAAAGACAGTTGAGCGGGCGACCCATGAACAGGGGCTATATACGATGCAGTGGTCGTGGGTTCGACTACCACTCACGACGTGCTGGTTATGATTTGGACATACTACACCAACACAGAGTCCGATCGGAGACTACCAGTTACCCGAGAGAGAAGGAAGCACAAACGGTGCGAACGTAATCAAAGGAGGAGGAAGAGAGACGGGATCCATGCTAGGCTAAAGGCTAAACCCTCCAGACCAGCAGAATCATCGCTCAACAACAAGCTGGACGAGCTACGTTTGCTGGGAGAAACCTGCAGAGAGTGGAAAGACTGCTGCGTGTCTCCTTTAACAGAAACATGGCTCCATGACAACATCCCAGACGGCCATACAGATGGAGTGGACGACATTGTTCTGGGCGGACAGACAGGCAGCTAGCTCTGAACTTCTCCAGAGCTGCTGCAGGAGCAGGACACTGAACATTGTCAGGGACTCCTCACAGCTTCTCCATAAACTGTTTGAACTGCTGCCATCAGGCAAATGTTTCTGGAGCATTAAAGGAAGAACCTCCAGACTCATCAACAGCTTCATTCCACAAGCTGTCAGAATGCTGAACTGCTGATCCAGATATGCAAACACTTCTTTATTTCATTGCTTGTATGTACTGTAAATGACAATAAACTTAATTTGATTTGATTTGAAAAGACAACAAACGTGACTTACGTGATACTGACAATGAGACGGCTTTGCTCCACTCAGTTAATGAATAGAGGTCATCTTTGCGTCTACCCCTACACATGTAGTCTCTGCCGGATTCGGAAACCTTGAACATGTAGTAGTTATTGGCTGTCCAGTGTATATAGGACTTGGTTCCTCTCCATTCGTACACCCACGTGGTGGTTTCCCCTCCAATGATCTCACATGTCAGAGTGATTCTTTCACCACTGAAGATCTGAGGCCAGCGTGATGTTAAAACCGCCTCATTGGAAACTGTTCCAACCAGATATGAACAATTGGTCAAAGAGAAACATGAAATTAGCAAATAAAGCATTGCAGGTGCCATCAGTAATTCTAATAGTAATCATAAAAGCAGGCACATTTCAAACAAAGTGACTGAACTCACAGGTGATCCTAACGGTGACCTCATCGCTTAGATGAGTGTGGAAAACTGGTTTTCCTCTTCCTCCTCTGCACTGGTAGACGCCTCCTTGTGATACACTGAGAACTCTGTTATCTCTGTCATTTGCTTCAAGCGGATTCAGTACAACTTCAGAGGTTTCCTGGGTAACTTTGAGCCACTCATATATCCAGCCAACAGAGTTCTGCACAGAGCAGGTCAGTTTCACACTGCCTCCTACTGATGTGTTTGTGGTTCCTGGTGTCAGTGTGGCCGTGGGTGTAGCTGCTGGTAAAAAAAACCAAACATGCAATTATTCTCACGGCAATGACTCAGAAAACTACAGAAGAAAATAGAAGTTTAGGTTTGTTTTCTTGTTTTGTTAACTTTAAATTCTTCATCATCTTCATATTTGAAAAAGCAAAAATATAATTGGCCATAACCTAACACTTTATATCAATTAATGATCATTTTCACTGCAATTTAATATATTTCAATGATATGTTTCAACATAGTGAGAGACCTTCTGGTTTAAAATCTCAATAAGCGCATTACAACAGCTTCTTTATTGTCTTGTCTAAAAAAGTTGCATTTACACTTCACAAATATGTTGCACTACCAAAAGATGCACACAGATGTTACTTCCACAGTGCTCTGTCCTGTTTTGGGTTTAGACAGAGGAAACAATATCAACTGCCAGCTATAATTAGATAAAATTTTAGATGCGTAGAGTTAAATCATGTTCCCTTTTCTTATTATAGTTGGTCTATTCCATCTGCAACAGGTGTTACTGCACACCAAAGAACATGGTTATTTCAGATGACAGTCTTTGAGCTTTTTAGCATTTTTTCCTGATAACAGCTGGAAAAGTAAAAAAAAGTGGTCAGTTTCCATTTTTCAAAATTATACAATAATAATAATTCTATGTGTGCTGTGTCACATAGTAAATAATAAAAAAGGATGATGAAATAAATGGATGTACCTGAAACAGTTAAAGAGACAGTATTACTATTCGTTGTGTTTTTTGAGCTCTTCCTGCGACCAATGCACTCATAGTCACCACTGTGATGTGTAGACAGACGTCCGAGTGTGTACCGTTGATGCGTGTTTTCTACGACATATTCTTGGCCATCCTTGTTAATTTTGTACATCCACTGGTCACCTTCTTCTTCGTTCATGTCACATATGAAGGTGACATACTCTCCGATGAAAAAAGTGGACCAGTTGGGATCAGTCGTCAGCACAGCAGCATCTAGCACCAACACAAACACGTACTGACATACCACATTTTGTTTAACTCTGCAATATCTGTGGACACACTGTTTACACTGACTAAAAAATAAGAATAAAACACAGAAGATAATGTGACTGACAGCTAAAGACTCAACCTAAGTGAATGACATGAATGAAAAAAAAGTAAAACTGAGCAGCTACCTTGAGCGTGTCCATCGTAGAAGAGTGTATTCAGCACTAAAATAAAGATTGAAACTTCAGATATTATTATAATGAATAACTGGCATTCACAGGGGAATATTAAACCGGTTTAATGCACAGAATCCATCAAATTATCACTGCTGATGAACCAATATTGTTTTTCTGTGATGATTTCACACAGTTCTCGGATTCTACATCGAAATAAGTCACTTTCCAAAAAGCCTGTCAATGTGTACGAAGCAATAAAGTTGGTGAAAAGTTGCCAGTACTCACAGGGTAGCAACAGGACGGACAGCCAAGTGTGTCCCATCCTCAAATCCAGCACTGACCCTTTGACACTTGTTGCTTTGTCTCTGAAATATGTCCACTTTGTATGAAGGAAACAATTGAAGATAAACTATCAGCTGTGTGAAACAGAAAAGTTTCACACGAGAACCAAGCCACTTCCTTCTCAGCTCTTGCATGCAATGCACGTGACCGCATTCTTCTTGCAGCTGCACCGC